AGACGCCCGGCGCCCCAGCGGCGGCGTCGCGCGGAAACGCTCGGAGGAGACGTTCCGTTCGCGCCACCGCGGGTGTTCCCGCAGTCGAAGGTCGGAGAAGAGCCCGCGGGCGCTCCCACCGGCGAGGATTCCGAACTAATGTTGGGCGATTGAACGGTCGGCCGAAAGCCGGGCCCAAACCCTCGCGCGAACAATTGCGCCAGCACGGGAGACTGGCAAGAGCCCATGTCAACCCGCTGCGCACGTCGGAGCGCGGCTTCGAGGCGCGCATCGGCGCTGCCTTCTCCAGGCAGGGGGGATCGCGGTATCACCCCCTGCCCCGCAGCCCTCTCCGCGTCGTCGCGACGCCGACCCGCCGTCGAAGAGCCACCGCGCATAGAGGCACTGGCCCCGCGAGGTCCAGCGCCGCGCGCGAGGCTCAAAGGCGGCGCGGGGCGTCGCAACGGAGAGCGCCATGGAAGAGGCCGATAACCTGCGGGCGGAGGTTGACAAAAAATGAATCGCACCTACCGCGGGGTCCGTAGGTAGAGGACGACAGGGACAAAAAAGAGGAGACTCTTCTGTCCATGCGCACCGCGCGAACAGGGGCGCGCAAGATGTCAAATACCTGGGCCGAGAGGATAGCAGGATAGATGGATAGGAAGGGGACATGAGCGGTCTTCACACATATCTGGGGGTTCAGCACGCCCCCACCCACCCACCCCAGCAACCCAGCAACCCAGCAGCCCAACTAGCCCCCTCTAGCTTAGCTGGAAACCTACCAAATCCAATCGAGCTTGCTTACGCGACCCCATGGACGTTCCTCTCGATGAAACATGTGCGCGCCGGCGAGGCGCGCAACCTGCTCGGGCCCGTGCGCGACCCCCACCAAGCCTGGGAACAGCTCTATAGAGGGCCCCGACAGCCCAACTCGGGACTCCCACGTGGGATTCCCCACTAAGGATTCTCGACGAAGGGTCCCCCACGAAGAATTCCCTGTGAAAGATTCCCCGATAAGGATGCCCTGCCAAAAAATCCCTTTTGAGGATTCCTGTCGCTTCGCGGGGTGCACGTCCGGAGCACGTACAGTCACGTCGTCGCGGAGCCTCTTGGGAGCCTCTTGGGGGCCTCCTGGAGGCATCCTGGGAGCTTCCTTGGGCCTCTTGGGGACTTCTTTGGGGCCCTTCCTCCCTCCCTCCTTTTCGTACTCCCTCCCCATATTTCCTTCCAGCGCCGGCTCTAATCATGGGCGCCGCTGTGACCAATTTCCACCTGGCTGGCGCTGCGCCGCAGTTCGCCCAGGTTGGAAAAATGGCATTACATTCCAGTCGCTGTGTGGCCTTTGGGGGGCTTCTTTGGAGCCTTTGGGAGGCTTCTTGAAGACATCTTGGAGGCCTCTTGGGAGTTTTTTGGGGCCCCTTGGGGGCCTCTTGGGGGCCTCTTGGGGCCTCCTGGGAGCGTCTTCGGCCGTATTGGGGCGCTTTTGCGCCGTTTCGCCCCTGCGGAGGCCGTCTGGGGGGCCTCTCGCGGCCGCCTTGGGGCCGTCTTGGGGTCCTCTTGGGCCGTCTTGGGGGCCTCTTGGACCGTCTGGGGGCCTCTTTGGGCCGTTTTGGGGTTCAGTTGGGCCGTACTTGGGCCCTCTTGGGGGCTTCTTGGGTTGTTCTGGACAAATTTGGGAAGCTGCTTGGGCCGCAAAGGCGAGAACGCTAAAAGATTACCAAGCCATAGAGAAATCAATGATTTTGGCCTCTAGAGGCGCAGTTGTGGGCTCTCTTGGGGCCCTCTTGGGCCGGCATTGGGGCTTTTTGGGCCCTCTTGGGGCCATCTTGGACCGTCTCGGGGCCGTCTTGGCCCGCACAGAGCTCATCTTGAGCCGTCTTGGCGCCCTCTTGGCCCCCCAAGAAGCCCAAAAGGTCGAAATCATAGATTTTCTATAGGTTTGGGTAGGTTTCTGAGCCCCGGGAGGGGGGGGGGTCACTTTGGTCCGTTCCTGTGGCGCAGCTCCCAGGGGGGGTTAGGGGGGGAGACAGAATAACGTATCACAATACAACATGTGGCAATTATGCAACAATTGGATACATTGGGTACATTGCATTACAGCATCCGCGGAAAACGCTGCCGCTCAGCACGTCATTTCCGGACGTGAATCCCCCATTAAGGATGCCCTACTAATGATTGCCGCCGAAAACGTCCTTATGAACGATTCCCGACAATAAGAATCCATAGTCGGGAATCCTGAATCAGGAACCCTGTGATAGCGATTCCTTATTAAGGATTACTGACTGCGGATTGTTTTACTGCGGCTTTCTTCCCAGGGCTTCCTTACGGAAGATTCCTTTTGTAGGGATTCCGTACGAAGGATTGCTTATACAGGATTTCATACTAAGGATTTACCACCGAAGTGTCATCACTAAGGATTCCTTAGTACATCCTACGCATCAAAATCACCATCATCACCCTCATCCCGATCACCATCCTCACCACCACCACCACCACCACCACCACCACCACCATCATCATCATCATCATCATCATCATCATCATCATCATCATCATCATCATCATCATCATCAGTATCATCATCACCGTCATCAGGATTAATACCAGCACCAGCATCATCATCATCAGCAGCATCATCATCATCATCAGCATCAGCATCAGCATCAGCATCAGCATCATCACCATCACCATCATCATCATCATCATCATCATCATCATCATCATCATCATCATCATCATCATCATCATCATCATCATCATCATCATCATCATCATCATCATCATCATCATCATCATCATCATCATCATCATCAGCATCAGCATCAGCATCAGCATCATCATCATCATCATCATCAGCATCAGCATCAGCATCATCAGCATCAGCATCAGCATCAGCATCAGCATCAGCATCATCATCATCATCATCATCATCATCATCATCATCATCATCATCATCATCATCATCATCATCATCATCATCATCATCATCATCATCATCATCATCATCATCATCATCATCATCATCATCATCATCATCATCATCATCATCATCATCATCATCATCATCATCATCATCATCATCATCATCATCATCATCATCATCATCATCATCATCATCATCATCATCATCATCATCATCGCGACCACCCCCACCATCCTCGACAAGAGGACGTCAGGGAGCCTGGATAAGCTGCAGGAATCCTTTGGGAATCCCTGAGGACTCCCAGCGGCATCCCCAGGAATCCCTTCGCACTCCTCAGGAATGCGTCAAGAATGCGCACGATTACCCCAGAATCCCTGAAGGGTTCCCCCAAGAATCACTCCGGAACCCCCTGGAGCCACCTAAGACTTGTTCGGAATCCTTCGAAAATCCATAGGCAATCCCTTCCCTCAGGCATCCCTTAGAATCCTCCAGAATCTTCAAGAATCCGTAGGAATATCTTATGACTCCTCCCGACTCCCTCAAGATTTCTGAACCCTTCAGGACCCTATAGGACCCCGATGGAATCCCTGAGGAATCCTCGCGGAATCCTTTACGAAGCCTCAGGAATTCCTCAGGAATCCCCCAAAGAATCCCCCGGGAATCCGCCAAGAATCCCTGAGGAATCTCCCAAGAATCCATCTGAAATCCTTCAGGGATCCCTCAAAAATCCCTTGTCATCCATAGGGGATTTCCTCAGGAATCCCTGAGGAATCCACGAGGAATCTCCAGGAATCCTTCAACGATCCTTCAACAGTCCCTCAAGAATCCCTCGGGAGTTCTCATGACACTCTCTCGGGATTCCTTCAGGAATCCCCCACGACACCCCCAGGAATCCGCCAGGAGTCCCTCAAGAATCCCTCGGGAGTCCTCAAGAATCCGTCAGGGATCCCTCAAGGATCCTTCAGGAATTCTCAGGAATCCGTCAGCAATGGCTTTTAGAAATGCCTTCGGGATCCTTCAGGAATCCTCAGGGGTCCTTTAGACACCCCTGGGGGGTCCCCAGGAATCCCTTCGGAATCCGTAAGGAATACCGCAGGAACCCCTTGAGGAATCCAAAGGAATCCCTGGGTATTCCCAGGGATTCATCCGGAAATCCCTCAGGATTCCCTCACGAATCTGATGGACCCTTCGAACCCCAAAATAATCCCTCAAGAAGACTTCCGCATCCCTCAGGAAGCCCCAGCAAACCTTCAGGAATCCTCCAGGAATCCCTTCGGGATCCTCAGGAATCGTTTTTCGGATTCCGCGAGACTCCTTCAGGAGTCCTAAATTCCTTGGGGGTCCATGAGGGATTCCCTGGAAATCCCTCAGGAATCCACCAGGAATCCGCCAGCAATCCGCCAGGAATCCCTCAAGAATCCTTCAGGAATCCCCAGAAAACCTCAGGAATCCTCAGGAACCCCAAATACGAGCAACCAAAACAACCCCCCAGGGGTGGCCGAAGGCTCCCCTGGAGGGTTGCTGTGGTTGCTGGTAAGTGGAAGAGCCCCACGAACTCTCCCAGAGCCCCTTGAACAGCCTCTGGAACCCCTTGGAGAGCCCCCAGAACCCCTCAGAGAAGCTTCAGAACCCATGTGGTAAATAAGAGGGCCCTTGGGAGAGGCTTCAAAACTGAATTGGAGGATTTCGGCGCATCTTGAAGGAGCCCTCAAGGCATTTTTGGAAAAGGCTTGGATCGGCGGAGTTTTTGAACCTTGGGGAACGAAGAAGAGGAAGGAGGAGCCTCCTCCTCCTCCTCCTCCTCCTCCTCCTCCTCCTCCTCCTCCTCCTCCTCCTCCTCCTCCTCCTCCTCCTCCTCCTCCTCCTCCTCCTCCTCCTCCTCCTCTTGCCTTCTGTTCCTGCCTTCTCCTCCTCCTCCTCCTCCTCCTCCTCCTCTTCATCATCCTCCTCCTCCTCTCTTCTCCTCCTCTTTATCCTCCTCCTCCTCCTCCTCCTCCTCCTCCTCCTCCTCCTCTTCCTCTTCATACCTCTTCTTCATAGTTACCTCCTCGTCATGCCTCCTGCCTCTCGCTGCTCCTCTGTTTCGGCCCATGGCATCCTCTCCCAGGCCCGACGGCCCGGCCAAGTCCAGCACCAATGCCTCCAGCACCTCCACCGCCGAGGACGCCCTTTGGGAGGAGGGGGGAGGAGTGAGGAAGATGAGCAGGACGAGGAGGACGAAGAGGACGAGAAGGGAAGGAGGACGACGAGGGAGGGGAAAGCAGGAGGAGGAGGAGGAGGAGGAGGAGGAGGAGGAGAGGGAGGCGGAGAGGAAGAAGAAGCAGAAGAAGCAGAAGGAAAGGACGAGGACGAGGACGAGGACGAGGAGGCGCACAGGCGCTCGGGACTGCTCCTGGAGACGGGCGGCCCGCCGAGCGAGGGGCGGCAGCGAGCACGCCACGCCCGGCACCGCGCCCGGCCTGCGGCCGCCGAGGCCAGCGCGCCGCAGGGGGGCCGGGCAGGCAGCGAACGGACCTCGAGACCCTTGGGGGGGGGAGCGCCTCTCCGAGGGCACCCGACTTCGCGCGTCGCGCTGCGCGAGAGCGCGACGTGCAAGTCACCCTTTCGCGCCCTCGCGCCGCCTCCCGGGGGGAAGACAGGGGGGGGAGTCGGAGCCGAACCGCGGAGCGCGGGGCGCGAACAGCTCCGCGCCCTCGACGGGCGCCCGTGCTCTCGGGGACCTCTGGCCCGCGCCGCCGTCGGACGGGGGAAGCGCGGAGCGCCCCGCGCTTGCAGTGCCTCGGGCTCTGCAGAGGGCCCACAGGGGACGCGCAGCCCCCCGGGGGCGCGACCACATCGGTAGTTCGGAGATGGGGTCCTCGGGGAGGGGGCCCGAAGGACGAGGTGGGTGCCTCCAACAGCGTAAATCCACCCCTGGATCCTCTGCTACGTCCTCAGGCCCCCATCCCTCGGGGCCTCATGCTTGAACCGCCGAGACCGAGGGCGCGACGAATGGGGCCATCACGGGCGTCGCGCCCAACGGGGACTGGCCTGGGTCTGCAGGGCCAAGGACGTTGACGCCGCCGACGCCGCCACCGCCACCGAGGGGCGCTGCCAGCGAGCACACCGCAGATTCCGCGGCCGCTGGCAAAAGTGGCCAGGCACAGCTGGACCCCCAAGCACAGCGTCGGCATGAGCAGTGCAGGAGCGATCCGAAAAGTGCGAAGGAGCCTGTCTGGGACATCACGGAGCTCGCCTGCAGGGAGGAAAAGTATGGAACGGTGTTCGCCGCAGGAAGCGACGAGGAGGCCTCCATCCGCTCTGTGAGCGTCGAAGCCTGAGAGCAAGTTGCACGACAGGACTTCACTGAGGCTGTATCCGCCACAGCGCAGAGCAAACAGCTTACGCGACCGCTGCCGAGTATGCATACACTTCTGCCTTGCGTCGTCCAGTGTACAGCGCCCGCTCCCCCGCCCCGTATCGGGCAACGGCCTGACTCGTTTCGTCGGTGCGTTGTCGCTTGGGCACCAGTGGGAGAGCCTGAGTAGCCTGCAGGCATGTGTCAATTCCGCTCACGCCTGTTGTGGTCTTTACGATACACACGAGGCGCGCGGGACAGGCTCCGAGCTCACACGCCTGAGCGACCAAGCGAGCGGGCGTCCGTCCGGCTACGCTGCGACTAGAGCCGCGCCCGTCTGGGCGGGACCGGAAGAACCGAAGCCCATCTGGGTGGGCGGGGCGACCTGAAAACGGCTCCAGCGCTTTCCGCGGCGTCATCCGGCGCGCGCGGCTTGTCCGTGACACAGTTCCGCCAATGTTCAGGAAAGGTCGCTGCCACCACAAACAGAAACAGCGGCACCAGCGCCTTTAGGTGTCCCGTTTGAGCCGACCACCAAGTCAACCAGCCGCACAGCAATACAGCTTCCGCGCGCCGACCGAACACCAGCCAAAAATTTGCGCGGGCGCTTGAGCACGTGGCCATCTCGACATGAGCGGCGGTAGCGAGACGCTGCGACAGCATGGCGGCGACAGGCAGCGCCAACACTCCAACTGCGGAAGGGCCGCATTCGTTAAGACAGATTGCGCGAAGAAGGAGGGCGAGAGGGAGGAGGGAGAAGGGAGGAAGGAGGCGGAAAGGAGGGCGTGCAAAACGAGCGAGAGAAAGAGGGAGGAGCAGGAGGATCCGTCAATACCCTGCATTTCTGCGCCGACGGTCGGTGCGCTGCATAGAAAAACACTCACAGGATGCGAAGGGAAAATGGGGCGAGGGAGAGGGGGGAAGAGCAGGAAGACGGAGGAGCAACCAGCGGAGGGGTTGAGAGCGATACAGAGAGAGAAACAGGGAGGAGGGACGCGGGGACGACGACGAGCAGGAGGAGGAAGATGGGAGAGGAGCAGGGGAGAGGAGCAGGTAGAGCACGACAGGCCACAAGAGGACGAAGACCTCAAAGGGGAAATCGGCCACCGATCTTGGACCAAGAGGAGTATCTGAAGGTGGGGTAGGAGCAGAGGTGGGGTTCAAGAGCAATCGCTTCAAGCGGACCCTGCAATAAGGAAAAGCGAACATCCTGCTGGGCCAGCTCCGGAAAATATATTTGGATGCCTTCCTTTTTTCTTGAACTCAAGAAACCTGGAATTCACATTTGGTGCGTTGAGCTTAAAAAGTAAAAAAGGATTGACAGCTCACGCGATACTTCATCTAATGCGATTGTATCAACCTTAAATACTCTGCACGGCAGCTGCACGTACGCGCCGCGCGCAACGAGCGGCTCTAAAACAAATACTCCACCAGCCTCGCCCCAAAGACCGACGATCAAAGCTGCAGCGGCGCAGTCATCTTCGAAGAACCTTCCGTTTGACTGGACGATGACGTTGGAATTCTCGACTGGGAGCGACGTCAGGTAGCGCCGGCTCCACAATGTCCGTTTGTCTATGGTGAGATCCGCCAAACCGTCCGCAACTCGGTTGCGGCATCTCCTGCCCCAGCGAACAAGGTCTGCATGTACTTCGGGAGGACGTCTGCCATTGCACATATGGGTTACGGTCCTACCCAACACTCGCGAAACAAGAGGCTCGTAGGTTGGGTCGTGGATCGTCGCGTGGCCACATACCACCTGTTGTACAGATAGCGAATCAGTCACGTACAGGAGGCGTCTCCGCGACGACGGCCAGCGCACGCTTCTCGCTACGATGTCCTGGAGCTCGTCGACCTCCGGCTCGGGGCCCCGAGAAATCAACCGCCCCTTCTGCTTCGGGTCTGTTCTCGGCCGCCTCAGAGGCCCGTCCCGGACACGTCGCAAACCAACTTCCAGCGGGCAGAAATATGCTCTGCGAAAAGGCCCCATCCGTCGTAACCGCGCGACCCGTGCCCGGGCACCCCGCTGCCCTCGCCACGCCTCACCACGATTATTCACGTTCGGGTCCCCCCACGACGCTCGCTGACCACCTGAACGTTGCAAGAGCCCTTCAGTCCATCTTCGCTTGGCCGGGGCATCCCGCACCAGTGCCCACAGGTCCCGCGCGCGGCATGCACGAGCACGCCCTGCAGCAAATTCCCAATCCCGGCGGCGACGCACATGTCCAAGGAAAGCCCCCACGAAGCAAGCCTCCAAAGCAACGGCGCGAATGGGCCGATAAACTGCGCGCAGCCGTGAACTAGGAGGATGCGCGTGAAAAGCGCGCGGCCAATAATCAACGCACTTTTCGTTTGGTTTCCTGCGTACATCGGAGTAGCCGCCGCAACCACTTCAGCTCCCAAAAGCATAACTTGTGTAGGAGGTCGCCGGTAAAGTGCCACGCGCGTGAACCGCGCGCAGCGGGCGCGCGGGGCCTGCGGCGCTATGCTTCCAGCTTCTCCCCCGCCAAACCAGGGCCTCGAAAAGCGTGCGATTTGCCCAATAATTGCTTTCAGCTCTGCTCGACATGTAGTCCGTGCTCGTCGCTGCGCAACCAGATCGGTCGATCAACCCCCAGGAACTCCCATTTTATCTACTGCTTCGGACGGCATCGCATAGATCGTCGCGAGCGGCGCCCCCGCCTCCCAAGACTTCCGACGACGTGTCCTTCCAGCTGAATCCGCTAGCAAAGACCGCGGTCGCGGCGTCGGCGATCATGACCTCGAGCACGACGCGGGAATCCGCCACGAGCCAAATACTATCACGCCAAATTGAATTAGAGATGGGGCGGCCATGCGTTAACGAACACCCCCACCACCGCTGCGTCCACGACTGAGTCGCACCCCACACGAGGTGCCCCACGACCAGGCGGAAGGTCCAGGGCGTCAACGCCACCCTGTTCCCCGCCCCGGGCGAAAGGGAAGCAGTCGGCCACCTCGCACCCCGGCAATTTGTTTCGGGCACGGAGCGCAGTGAGCTCGCGCAGGACGTCGTGGATGACCTCCGGGCGAAGTCGCCCCCACCTCACTGCCTACACCAAAATTCCATGGCGCATGTCGTCGAAGGTCAGTTTTTCATGCCCACAGAAGCTATGAGAACAGACGCCGGCTGAAACTTCCACGCTGCGCACAGAACCTGCCTGCTGACGCTTGCGACGTCCGCAGTGCGCATCCCCCGCATGAATCCATAAGTGGCCGCGTCGACGGGCAGAACACGTCGGCAATGTTGCTCTCGCATCGCATCCTGGTACCCTTTTTGGCGAACCGCCTGTTTAGCTATCCACCTCAGGCTTTTGGCAAGAGCGAAGGCCCCCTGGGAATCCCCTTTCGGCATACCAGCGCACTCCACGATTTTCCTAGAAGGGGAGATTGGCTTCGAAGGGCGTCTGCCGACGGCGAAAACATGACCAATCGAATTCGCACACGATGAATTGCAGACTGCGGTGTAAACTTCCGGAGGCGCGCCGCCCACTCCGGCAGCCGCCCCCGCTGAGAACGACGCGCGAGCATGCGGCGCGCGGCGCAAACTCAACGGCTCGACACTACCACCATCAAATGTTTGATATTTCCCTGGGCTGCATAGACGTTGTAACCTCTCCTCTTGGACGTCCACAGCGTTGCCCTCATCGCCGAAACTGGCCACGCCGAGGATCTTGGCCTCCGCGCGCACGCGGCCCCAGCCCATACTTTCGCAGGCCTCCGCGCGCACAGACATCGGCATAGGCACTGGCGTCGCGCGCCCAGGGCCCTTGATCTTGAGGGGCCGACGGGCTGTCGATACACGGCGGACTTCACGTCGGAGTTCGCGCAGCTTCCTCACCAAATCCCGTCGTTCCCCAGCCTGTCCTGCAATTGCCTGCCGAGTTGTCCGCAATGAGAGGCTACGCGATTATGTCCGCATCCGGCTGGCTGCAGCGGCGTGCGGAATAGCCTCTGCGAGTTCGTGGAGCTCGGTGTCAAACTTCCTCGGGGTAGGAGCGCGCTGCGCCCGATCGCAAGCCCAGCGGCGAAACTCCACTTCCGCGTCTGCGTCTGTCGGGCCCCATCCTTGGAGCGAAGTTGGATTGCTTGGCGGCTGTCCTGAGCATACGGCGCCCGGAAAGCAGAGCGAACCTACGATCTGTATATGGTCGAATTTCTGCAACAGGGTCACCTGCCCCTGCATGGGCTTGGCATGTCCAGCAATCGCAGGCGTGCAAAATCCATGGTGAATCTGCGACTTGCGGTAATGTTTTCGGCCTCGGCCCCAAGTATACTCTGGCATACTGAAAAAAGTGTTCATCGCCCTCAAACTGCGCCATTACAAGAAAGACAAAACTGGCACTGCCCGCTTCTCATCGCATCGCCAGTGAGGACCTCAAAACGCTGAGAAAGTTGAACATTAATGTTGGCACCCATGACGATGTTGAACGGCTTCTTCGGCCACTCCACCTTCGCTTCGTCTATGAATCTGTTCACCCCCTCAAAACATACGCGTGCTCGCCCCTTGTCAACACTGTGATCCAGAATATGCGAATTGAGAAAATGACATCATTAATTACAACGGCGCCCCAGTCGCGTTGGGAGCGGTACTACCTAACAGCTGGTGACAGATGTCTAACCACCATGAAGCCGCAGTCACTCCAAACGCTTCAAAAAACCACGTACCCCGAGTAGCCCCTCCCTTCCCGCGCAACTCACCACAGCGTGGAACTTCCTGAAGAAGAGCAGTGTCGACGCCAAGACGCCCACGTAGGTGATCTGCCCAAGGAGCCCTTTCCCCCGGCGGCAGGTGGTCCAGCTCAAAACCGCGAGCCGCTGGATGCCCAACGGCTGCAATCAAGCATTGCGTCTTGAACGGAAGACCCGAAGCTTCGCCTTGAGCTCCACCGCCGTCTCCCCAATCACGTTCTGCGCCCAACAACCGCTGAAAAGACACCCCCCGCGCTCGCCCATGCACCCGGCCCTCCCCCCACCTGGCTCGTCGTCGAAATCGCCCCCCTCCACGGCCAGGATCACGAAGTCCGGATGCCACGCGCGCTAGAAGCGTACATGCAAGTCAGCGCTGTCGAACCTGTTGACCACCTCCTGCAAGAAGGCACGAGCGCGCCCGAAAGATGAGTAACGCTTCTGGATCCAGGGCCCCCGCTCAACTTGCACCCACACCTTTCTCCCATTGAAGAGGTATCCCGTCAACTCGAAGGCGTCGCGGAAGTCGCCCTGGACCTCGCCAGCGAACCCGGGCTGCACAGGGGGTTCTATGGTGTCAGACTTCCCGCACCCTATGAGTTTCATCTGGTCGATGAACAACCTGGTTTTGGTCGCTGGCTGCACCACCTCGGAAAGAGGTTGGAGCAGGTGTTCGCCTTCGGGTCGACTGATGCCCGTCTGCTTCCCAGGCCGCAACGTCTTTCAGGCACAAATGCAAAGCAACAGAAGAACTCCCAGTTCCTGCTGTCGCCCCATTCGATGGCGATGCCTTCGTCTTGGCTTTCGCGTTCAAAGGGCACGGAAAGTTGGAGTCCTTCGCCCTGCTCAAAGCCTCCTCGCACTTCGCCTCCAACTCCTCGAGCCTCTTGCCGTGCCCCTCCACCATGCCCCCGATCCTCGCGAGCCCCGATTGTCCTGGACCACGCTTGGCATCCAGGCGTGAGTCGATGTGACAATTCATCTGAGCGAAGAAGACCTCCAGAGTCATGTTTCCGATTGGCGCCGTTGCCAGAAGATGCGGTGCCTAGCAAGTGCTTGCAAAGCGACTACGACAGAGAAGTAGGGCGTCACTGCGCTCGGCCCCCCAGCGCCTTCGGGGCGGTCGAGCCTTGAGCCTTGAGCCGACCCTTAACCCTTGGGATAACCTCCCCTCGACGCACCCCTGCTTGGAGAACACCGCCAGACTGGCCGATGAGCGAAGGGGATGAAAGGGAGCTGGTGCTTGGCATGGCCTGGCAAGGCTCCAAGCTAGGAGGCGATGGGCCGAGGGCTGACGCCCGAGAGGAGCAGCGGCAGCACCAGCTGACACCGCCTCTGAAACGCTGCCACCGCCGTCGCCGGCGACGGCGACGTCGGCGACGTCGGCGACGGCGTCGGCAGCGACGACGGCGGCGGCGGCGGCGACGGCGACGGCGGCGGCGGCGACGGCGGCGGCAACGGCGGCGGCGACGGCAGAAGCGGCCTCTGGAACTCCGTCACCGCCATCGCGAGCCCCGCCCGGCGAGCGCCCCCTCCGAGCCGCGCACCGCTGCGGCGGCCCCGCCCTCTAGCGCGCGGGGGCGTCGCGGGCGGCTGTGGCGGGACTGGGGGGCCTCCTCGTCTCCGCTTCCGCCTGGGCCTCCGCTGCCGCCGCCGCCGCGCCTCCTCCTCCTCTGCCTCCTCCTCCTCCTCCTCCTCCTCCTCCTCCTCCTCCGCCTCCTCCTCCTCCTCCTCCTCCTCCGCCTCCTCCTCCTCTTCCTCTTATGCTTATTATGGTTATGTTTCCTCTTGTTGGTATGACTGATGTTAGTATTGTTAGTACGAATCGTTTTACTAATATGATTAGCCTTCTTGTTGTATTGTTTTCCTTTTTATAATAAAAAACGTGTGTTAGTATGACTGGTATTATTCTCAGACTTCGTATTACCTGCCTGGCTTTGAATGTCTAAGACTTAGTGTTCGTATTAGTATCATTACTCCTCTTAGTACATCATGACGATGGTAATTAAAGCAGTTTCATTCGTAGTATCATTTTGTTGTTTGATACTACGATTATTAAGATGAGCAATATAAGAAATACTGGTAGTAGAACGGACATTAGTATTACGATTATATATAATGGTAGTATTAGTGGAAGTAGTAGTAGTAGTAATAATAATAATAGTAGTAGTAGTAAAAGTAGTAGTATTAGTAGTAGTAGTAGTAGTAGTAGTAGTAGTAGTAGTAGCAGTCGTAGTCGTAGTAGTAGTCGTAGTAGTAGTAGTAGTAGTAGTAGTAGAAGAAGAAGAAGAAGTAGTAGCAATAGTAATAGTAGTAGTAATTGTAATAGTAGTAGTCGTAGTAATAGTAGCCGTAGTAGTAGTAGTAGTAGTAGTAGTAGTAGTAGTAGTAGTAGTAGTAGTAGTAGTATTGTTGTTGTCTTCCTCTTTTTCCTCCTCCTCCCCCTTATCCTCCTCCTCCTCCTCCTCCTCCTCCTCCTCCTCCTCCTTCTACTCATCCTCCTGTTGTTGGTATGTTGCGTCGCATGTGTATCGGCATTATTATTCTTACTCTTACTATTAGGATTATTCGTGTGATACTCTTCTTCTAAGTCTTAACAGTAGTAATAGCATTATCAGTACCCGTATTCAAAATATTAGTCGTGCTACGATTCGTCTTCTTATTCGTATTCGTTTCCTTCGTATCAGTATTAGAAATGTCAATAATATTCGTATTATTTGCATTCCTCTTCTTCCTCTTCTTCCCGTGTTTCCTCTTTTTCCTAATTTTCATCCTCGTTTTCATCTTCTTCTTTTTCCCGGAAAGGGCATGAGCCCAGGGTTCTCTTTTAGTAGGTAAACCTGTCCCCCGGTGCCAACTTGAAGGAGGCCGGCGAATTTTTTCCCTGATAAATATCGAGGTCGAAGGAGGCCGGCGAATTAAAATTTGAGGATGTCTCGAGCGAAACGCTTGTTTTTGAAATCCCGATCGATAAATCACAGGGTGCCGACCACCCCCCAGCACGCCCACCCCCCAGCACGACCACTCCCCAGCACGAGCACACCGCCTTGGTTGAGTGGTTGCCTGCACGACCACACCCCAGCACGACCACGCCCCAGCACGACCACACCCCAGCACGACCACACCCCAGCACGACCACACCCCAGCACCAGCACGACCACACCCCAGCACGACCCGATCGATAAGTCACAGGGTTCGGACCACCCCAGCACGACCACACCCCAGCACGACCCCACTCCAGCACGACCCCACCCCAGCACGACCACGCCCCAGCACGACCCCACCCCAACACGACCACACCCCAGCACGACCACACTCCAGCACGACCCCGACCCAGCACGACCCCACCCCAGCACGACCACACCCCAGCACGACCACACCCCAGAACGACCACACCCCAGCCCGACCCCACCCAAGCACGACCCCACCCCAGCACGACCACACCCCAGCACGACCACACCCCAGCACGACCACACCCCAGCCGGACACCCCAGCACGACCCCACCCCAGCAAGACCACACCCCAGCACGACCACACCCCAGCACGACCTCACCACAGCACGACCACACCCCAGCACGACCACGCCCCAGCACGACCACGCCCCAGCACCACCACGCCCCAGCAAGACCACCCCCCATTGCGACCAGCTCCAGGGCGAGTTCTGCATTCAGACAGCTCGGGCTTAAGATCCAAATCAGTTAGGCCCGGATTCGGAGGCCACGGGCGAGTTGATCCACAACGCACTTGAGCCCTGCGGAGCCCTACGGGCGCCACGGAGCGCTACTGAGCCCTGCGGAGCCCTACGGAGCTCCAAAACGGCCCCAAGAGGGCCCCGATAGCATCCCCAGGGACCCCAAATACGTGATTTTGGGGGTGAGGAAGCTACGGGCGGTTTGCCGGTCAGACTTTGAATTCTGACCGGCAAAATCCCTGCAAGGGGAAGGGGCGGGGGGGGCCCAAGAGGGCCCCAAGAGGGCCCCAGGAGGGCTCCAGAGGGCCCCAAGAGGGCCCCGAGAGCACGACCCGATCGATAAGTCACAGGGTTCGGACCACCCCAGCACGACCACACCCCAGCACGACCCCACACCAGCACGACCCCACCCCAGCACGACCCCACCCCAGCACGACCATACCCCAGCACGACCACACCCCAGCACGACCCGACCCCAGCACGACCCTACCCCAGCAAGACCACACCCCAGCACGACCACACCCCAGCACGACCTCACCACAGCACGACCACGCCCCAGCACGACCACGCCCCAGCACGACCACGCCCCAGCACGACCACCCCCCAGCACGACCACCCCCCCACGACACCCCCCAGCACGACCACCCCCCAGCACGACCACACCCCAGCACGCCACTCCCCAGCACGACCACACCCCAGCACGACCCCACCCCAGCACGACCACACCCAGTCGCACCCCCGTGGAATGTTTCGTGGCGTGTCTGGTTGAGTGGTTGCCTGTTCGTGGGGTGTCTCGTGGAATGTTTCAAAGGGTGTCTCGTGGAATGTTTCGTGAGGTGTCTCGTGGAATGTTTCGTGAGGTGTCTCGTGGGATGTTTCGCGGGGTGGCACGACCACGCCCCAGCACGACCACCCCCCCAGCACGACCACCCCCCAGCACGACCACCCCCAGCACGACCACACCCCAGCACGACCACTCCCCAGCACGACCACACCCCAGCACGACCACTCCCCAGCACGACCACACCCCAGCACGACCACACCCCAGCACGACCACACACAGTCGCACCCCCGTGGAATGTTTCGTGGCGTGTCTGGTTGAGTGGTTGCCTGTTCGTGGGGTGTCTCGTGGAATGTTTCAAAGGGTGTCTCGTGGAATGTTTTGTGAGGTGTCTCGTGGAATGTTTCGTGAGGTGTCTCGTGGGATGTTTCGCGGGGTGTCTCGTGGGATGTTTCGTGAGATGTCGCCCAGTTGGGTATCGTGAAAACGTGACCATGCTGCACATGTCTTTATCCCTTTCCGGGTTCGTGGGTCCATCATGTTCCTCCTCCTCCCCCTTATCCTCCTCCTCCTCCTCCTCCTCCTCCTCCTCCTCCTCCTCCTTCTACTCATCCTCCTGTTGTTGGTATGTTGCGTCGCATGTGTATCGGCATTATTATTCTTACTCTTACTATTAGGATTATTCGTGTGATACTCTTCTTCTAAGTCTTAACAGTAGTAATAGCATTATCAGTACCCGTATCAAAATATTAGTCGTGGCTACGATTCAGTCTTTTATTCGTATTCGTTTTCCTTCGTATTCAGTATTAGAAATGTCAAATAATATTCGTGATTATTTGCATTCCTTTCTTCCTCTTTTCCGTGTTTCCCTTTTTCCTAATTTTCATCCTCGTTTTCTTTTACATCTTCTTCTTTTTATTAGGAATAGGGCTTAAGCAGGGGTTCTCTTTTAGTGGGTAAACCTGTCCCCCGGTGCCAACTTGAAGGAGGCCGGCGATTTTTTTCCCTGATAAATATCGAGGTCGAAGGAGGCCGGCGAATTAAAATTTGAGGATGTCTCGAGCGAAACGCTTGTTTTTGAAATCCCGATCGATAATCACAGGGTGCGGGCCACTTTTTCGTGTGTTGAGGATGTCTCGAGCGAAACGCTTGCTCCGCAGAGTTTGCCGAGGATGTCTCGAGCGAAACGCGTGTTTTGCAGAGCCGACCGCGACGCGGAAAAGCGCCCCGCGCGAAGGAATTTCGATGATGTCTCGACTAATTCCTTTGTTTTTGTAGATTTCCTGGAATTTTGGCAGGATGTCTCGAGCGAAATGCACGACCCTACCCTAGCACGACCATACCCCAGCACGACCACACCCCAGCACGACCCCACCCCAGCACGACCCCACCCTAGCACGACCCCACCCCAGCACGACCATACCCCAGCACGACCACACCCCAGCACGACCCGACCCCAACACGACCCTACCCCAGCAAGACCACACCCCAGCACGACCACACCCCAGCACGACCTCACCACAGCACGACCACGCCCCAGCACGACCACGCCCCAGCACGACCACGCCCCAGCACGACCACGCCCCAGCACGACCACGCCCCAGCACGACCACCCCCAGCACGACCACCCCCCCAGCACGACCACCCCCCAGCACGACCACCCCCCAGCACGACCACACCCCAGCACGACCACACCCCAGCACGACCACACCCCAGCACGACCACACCCCAGCACGACCCGATCGATAAATCACAGGGTGCTGAGCACCCCAGCACGAACCCACCCCAGCACGACCCCACCCCAGCACGACCCCACCCCAGCACGACCACGCCCCAGCATGACCACACCCCAGCACGACCACACCCCAGCACGACCACTCCCCAGCACGACCCCACCCCAGCACGACCCCACCCTAGCACGACCACACCCCAGCACGACCACACCCCAGCACGACCCCACCCCAGCACGTTCACACCCCAGCACGACCCCACCCCAGCAAGACCACACCCCAGCACGACCGCACCCCAGCACGACCTTACCACAGCACGACCACACCCCAGCACGACCACGCCCCAGCAGGACCACGCCCCAGCACGACCACGCCCCAGCACGACCACGCCCCAGCACGAC